TAGTAACAATTAATTCTAAGATTTTACTTACAAGTAAAGCCGCTAAGACGTATAGTTTCTTTCCTCTAACTGGATTAGTTCTTGGATTTGCGGTTTCTTGTGCCAACTATACATGAAAAAATGAATGAATGGAAGAAAGAAAGAATGAACAAAAGGGTTAGAAAAAAATACTAAAAACAATTCTCGGTGATTGCATCACCCTGCATTTCTACCCAAAATTTGCCGATGATTCATTCGTTTCTAAATTATAAATCGTTTAAGGACTCACAGCTATGCTTGTGCTGAGTGACGAAGGTTTGTCAAGAAAATACTTAGATCCACAAAAATTGTTCGGGAATTGAAAAATTCTAGTATTATCGTGGGTCCGCGCATGAGAAGTCTAGAACTCATGACTTCAAGGTACATATTTCATGACCTATAAAATAGGAGCAAATACGCTGGGTTGGTTAACTACACATTCCTCAATCTTTGCTCAAAGTATCCAGTAACTAGTAGAGTACCATGGATACGTCTAATACTATGGACAACAGGATCAAACCACAAAATTTGGAGCAAAGTCGCTGGGTTCGTTAATTACACATTGCTCAATATTAGCTCAAAGTATCCAGTACCTAGTAGAGTACCATGGATACTTCTAATACTATGGACAACAGGATCAAACCACAAAATTAGGAGTCGAGTCGCTGGGTTCGTTAATTACGCCCAGTAACTAGTAGAGTACCATGGATAGTTCTAATACTAATCTATGGACAACAGGATCAAACCACAAAATTAGGAGCCGAGTCGCTGGGTTCGTTAATTACACATTCCTCAATATTAGCTCAAAGTATCCAGTATGAAGTACAGTATATGGCGTGCTTCTAATAATGGACTATAGCTTACCTTGAAGAGTAGTTTAGCAGCATCAATAAAATGATTGGCTTTGCGATAGCTAGGAAAGGTCAAGGCTCAACATTTCTAAAACTCGTACTAATACCAAAAACCTCAAAGATTTTGTTTCGTTCGTTCGGGAGGGAAAATGGGTGATATTTTAGTGTGAGAACCCATGAAAGAAAGAAGAAAAGAGAAAATAGGAGAAAAACCCTCGAAGCATTAAAAAAATAAAATAAAAAGCAATTATACTCACATTCATCTGTCTATCAATTCATTCTCTCTTCCTTAGGGACCGTTCATTATGTAACTGGGGGAGGGGGCTGGGTAAGAAAAGGAGGGGCCTCGAAAATRTTTCATGTACAAAAAATGGGGTCCTGGAATTTTTTTATGGGTTTAAGGGAGGGGACTTGAAATTTCAGGTGAAGGTCTAAAGACAGTGAAGGGGGGTCTTGAAAAAGATCACTTTCTTTGTTGGGGGGTCCCTAAAAAGGGCGCCTTGTCCAACTTCTCACCCCGCCCCTCCCCCCAGTTAAATAATGAACGGTCCCTTATCTTCCTCCCTCCCTCCCTCCTTCCCTTTCTTCCATCCTGTATTCATTTTCGTCAGTTTGAAAGGATACAGTTCAATAGCATTTAGTATCTTGTTTTTCTCCAGCAGATGTGAAGCATATTTGGCCAGTAGAGTATCGATCTCCTTCACGTTGTGTTCTTTAGCTAACTGTATCGCCTGATCCCATTGGTTCAAATGTACACAGCAATCGATGGCCTCTTTAATCTTATTGGTCTAAAAGAGAATTAATTTTCTAGTTTCTTGAATCAACCAACCAGCCGTAATGCTAGACTCACGGTGCCATAGACCTTTACTGAGAATGAAGGGGGATTCCCTTTGTGTTTCTAATTTCTCGAAGCATTGACCATAGACCTTTTCTGAGAATGAAGGGGGATTCCCTTTGTGTTTCTAATTTCTCGAGGCATTGACCATAGACCTTTTCTGAGAATGAAGGGGGATTCCCCTTGTGTTTCTCATTTCTCGAGACCTTGACCATAGACCTTTTCTGAGATAGCTATTATGGTGTACTGTGGTCTAGCTTCGGTACAAATATTTTTTGTTCGTGCATCACGCCTTATATGGTGTTGCTTATACCTAAGCTAGACCACAATGCATCCTGTTTATCAAACTCAGAAAAGGCCTTTGTTTATTCTCACTTTTGTTTAACCACGCTTAGCCTCATCCTGAAGAGCTTGAATGCGAGGCCACGCAGGGAAAATCAACATGGCTGCCACGTAACAAAGGTCTATTGTTGTGTACTGGGATATTGCATTTTACCATGTGGCCTGGTATTTCYCATCCCTAGAAAACCGTCCATACCGTTCACAAATAGTGATTCCTATCAATGCTGAATTTAATAGGTAATACTAATATCATGTTCCTTGTTATGTACTGGGGTACTGCCGTTTACCGTGTGGTCTGGTTTCTCCATTCCTGCAAAGTCGTTCTCATTGTTCACAAATAGTGATTCCAAGGTTAGATTGAATAGGTAATAGAAATTTCATGCATCTACCATAAGTATTACGTACCTTTGAGAATGCAACTACAGCTTGTTCACACATCCCTACAGACCTGAACATCGCAGCTATCTCCTACAGAAGAAATGAGTATCCTTTTTACTTCATTATCCTATGAATATATCATAACATTACGACCGGAGCAATCTTTGTATTGGATTAAAAAACTCTCAAGCATAAGCGTGACGTACTGTTGCTCAGTATAACAGCACCGCAACCCGCTCCTGCAATTTGACTGGATGAGCAGGAAGCGCGCAATCTGTGATTGACTGGTTCATTGGATACCAGCGTGACAGCGTGCCGCATGTCATAAAGTGTTTTTTCTCATTAATAGAAAATAAGAAATGGAAAAATTCAAAGTCTATAAGCAGCCGATGTAACTTTGTGCACATGAGTCGATAGCAAATATCAGTGTTACACTCTATTTTCTTTAATCGATTGTTGATGTAGTTCAGTTTATATACATTTACTATTGACCCAAATAACTCGACTTGAAACAATTGCTTGAAGGCAATATTTTAACTCTTATATCTGCTATTTCATACGTACAGCTAGTAGCTTGTGGTTTTCTGGCAAGCTGTTAACCATCGATTCTAGCCCGTTATAGTCCTCTAGCATGTAATAACATTCAGCCAGTCTCTCTTGGTTTCGTCCCTGGACGTAATACGTGACAGCGTTCTGCCACTTTTGACGATCAGCATAATAATCACCAATAGCGTTCCATGCTTGTTCGAGAAGCTGATCATCGCCTGGCGAAGGTTAAATTAGAAAAGGCTTTGGTATGAGTGGGAAACTCAAGGCACTAACTTACTGCGCACACACACTGTACGGTAGTAGTAGTCCCGCCGTAGTCAAGTCGGGCTCGATGTCGTATGTGAGTAGAGTTGTTTGTTGGTTCTCTCCTGTGCTTCGAGGGTATTTCTCCGGGTTCTCTGGTTTTCCTCACTCCGTATAAATCTATTTCTAAATTGCAATTGGAATCCAGTGAAAGAAGAGCCACTCTGTGGAACCCACTGTTAAATCCCATTAATTTATTTCATTTTGTTTATTTTTTAATGTGCTGTAACATATGGCACTAATTTATTTCCATGCACCTCTTCAAATCAATGCGCAGATGTGCTTTTTTTCAAGCAGTAAGACTTGTTTGAAGTGAAGTAATCCGAGTCAAAGAATCAGTATTCATGTCTTACCTCCACCGCCGCCTGTCTTGAGAAGTTGAACCACACGAAACCAGTCACCCAGCTTAACACGTAACTCAACTGCCAGGTCCCTTCGAAACACAAGTGTTTTACAATCAATGAAATGGAGACAACTATGAAGACGACGATGGTGATGAAGACGTTAGGGTGACAATGCTGATATTTATGATAATGGTGATGGTGATGATGATGGTGATGATGATGGTGATGATGATAATGATGATGGTGGTGATGACGATAATGATATTGATGGTGATAATGATATTGATGGTGATGATGATGATGATGATGGTGGTGGTGGTGATGATGGTGGTTGTGCGGTGGTGTTCATAATGATGATTAAGAGGATGAGAATCATGATGATGATGATTGTCGTGATGAAAAGGGTGATGATGATGATCATCACTAACCTTCGGTCCATTTCCAAGTAAAGACGTTCAGCTTCTTCAAATCGTTTGAAATATGCTGCTACCTCTGCTTTCTTCTTGCTTTCGTCCTAATTCAAGATTAGAAATGATTAATGTGTTTTCCCATTTCAGACCATGTGTCATTCCCTAGAGTATTATTTCTTTGTTTAACGGTTGCMCACGAGAAGACAAATGAATATGGATACAACTCAAATGAAGAATCTTATTCTCAAGAGAATGACATGTGGTCTGAAATAGGAAAACGTTACACCCAAGCTAAATTAGTCTATAGAGGATTTGCACCATCACGTGATGGCAGCCATGACAAAAGGCACGACAATGGAGTCTTTTTCTCATTGGAAACTAAATTCTTTCTCATGAAAATCAGACTAGAGCAGATTCAATTTTTCCTGCCTCCTGTCATGGCTGCCATCATGTGATTATGCAAAGCCTTTATTGAGAAATATTTTCAACAACTATACTTACATCGAGCTTGACCAATCTCTTAACGAATCGTATGCCTTGGTAATCCTGACATCTGACAAAGGCCTTATCAGCAACCTCAAGGTCCAGCCTCTCAAGTGATGACTCAGCTAGGAGACGCCTGCGTTTGTTAAATAATTGGTTATTTTTTCTGGGGTGTAGTGTTGTCGTTGAAAAGGGCAAGAAGATATGGAAAGGAAAGAAAAAGGATTGGATAGTATAGGAAGGGATGGGATGGGGTGGAATAAGATAGGATGGGATGGGATAAGATAGGATGACTTGGGATGGGATAAGATAGGATGACATGGGATGGGATGGAATAAGGTAGGATAACATTGGATGGAATGGGATGGAATGGGATGGAATGGGATGGAATGGAATGGGATGGAATGGGATGGAATGGAATGGGATG